AAATCAAAAGTTAATTACTTAGATACATGATAATTTATAATATTACGAATTTTATCAGATTATGGTGTGTTTAGATACGTCATGATTCATGTATTTTGGGATATATGGAGTCAAAATTATGTGTAATTTATTTAGAAACACCTTTCATCCCATGTCGCTCACAACTTTCCTATGTACCCGATATCCAAGATACATGCAAATCACACCAGATATATACAGATAGATGTATCTAGTGTGATTTTCATGTATATGCGATACATAACTATCTCTCTTCCCATCTCACTCGTCTCTCTCCCTGTTATGTGTATCTAGTAGCAAAAATATATGTATCTAGGTGTATATTTTTAATAAACTCTCAATTTGTGATAACATACGTAATTATTGGTAACGGTGGAATCTTAAATACCGAATTAACTCTTATTTTTTAACGGAGTAAAAAGAGGGAAACAAAGACAAGTAAATTAAAACGAAAGGAGTATGTTCATTTCTAAAAAAAAGATTATTATTGTTCTCTTTAATTTGCTTCTTCACTAAATAAGAACTGAAATAAACCTGGTAGACCTTATTTGTTCTTCCACACATTCCTATAGTTAATTACATGAAAAAAATAAATTTATTCAAGTGATAATACCCACAATTCTGAGAAAAAGTATATTAAAGGCAAAGTACCTAAGAATACACACACACAAAAAAAAATAAAAAAATTAAAGATTTAAAAATGTACTACCTCGTGATTTTATTTTATTTTTATCAAGTATATTACTTCATAATTAAATTCATTTAATCCTAGTTGACTTTCTTTTTTTTTTTTAATTTACTTGAGATAATGTATTTAAAAATATATAATAAATTACTACTATGTTAGTGTTATTTTATTTGATTTATTGATTCTTATTAGTATTATATTATGATAATATTTTCTTCTTCTATGATCTTATTGTAGACATTGAACGTGTGGGCCGTGGGGTACTATAAATTATCTTAAAAACATTTCGAATATTTTACAAATTGATAAATATTTATATAGGGATCAAATTTAAATTATATAATTCGAGAAATACGTTATAAATAAATTTTAGAAAAGTAGAATCAAGAAAGAAATAAAATTGTAATCGCAATTGATGAATAAATTATGTTTCTTTTTTTTTTGTGCGATTGTAATTTATTTTATATCACTTTAAATTTTTTTACAAACACTTGTAAGTATTTAATGATTAACAACTACCTTTCTTATTTTAATATATTAGCTCAATCTAATTTAATCTCATATTTAATTAAATTAACCGATTTGACACTTCTAATTTTCTTTCCTTAACCCAAAATTAAAAAAAATGATTGAGTTCGATTGATAATTTCAAATTTAATCTGCTGACGTTGTTAAAAAAAAGGGGGGGGGGGGGGATAATCAAGATCCAATGCAAAAAGCCAGGATCTTTTTTTATAAAATAAAATAATAATAATAATAATATCTTATTGAATAAATTAGATCCTTTTGTTCTGTAAAAATGCTTATCAACTAGTAGTAGTATCTTTTATTGGAAAGCTAGTGGGATTTATCATAACTCGACGGATTTTATTCAGACTCAACTTATCTCAATTGAATTTATATTTTTCAATAATATATATGTTATTTTTATCTTATGTCATATAGAGTAATTAGTTTTAGTAGAACTTTAGAAGAAAAAAATCCTTCAATCGTGATATACGATATCATTATCGATGTTTTAAATTCAAAATTAAGATATTTAATAATATTTTCGCTCTTAAGAATAGTCCGTTTGACAAATCGTATTTTAATATATGCTTTATTTGATGTAATTTTGAATTCATACTTCAAATATTCTATTTTAATTCTGTTCAATCTTAACTTCTCGAACTTTAAATTTAACTTCAAACCTTTAATCTAACACTAGCACTGTCTAGTATCATGTTCGTTAATACTATATCATTTACAAATATAATATACAATGAAATCTTTTTCTATATAAATCGCGTAAATTTATTTATTATCGAAATAAAATAAAAAAAAAAGGACAAGAACTGATCCGTCATGTAAGAAGAGAAGATGACACTTGTGTGTTGCTATAAGAACGTGAGATCCATGTGATTTTGATCCTACCTGGTCATACTCCAAACAAATTGCTTTAATTATGATATTTTTTGAATTTTAAAATTTAAATAAATTTATTTTTATCGTAATTTTTTAAATATATATTGATTAATTATTTTGAACTATTTATTATTATAATATATTTTTATATAATTTATAAATATATAAATTTCACTTCAAAATATTTTTTTCGGTTAGTTAGTGTATATCAAAATTAATAGTTAATTTGTTTGTCTTTTAAAAAATTTAAGTAACTAACTTTAATCTTAGTTTATTTTTTGACTAATAATGCATATCACCAAGTTGACATAACCTTTTGAATGATTAATTAATTTAATTAGATGACATCATTCATCCAACTCATCTAAATTTAATTAGAACAATTATCTATCCATATTTATATTAATCTTTATTCATTTATCAATCTAAATTGCTCTTGCTTTAACAAGTTATCTCACTTTTGCTCCATTTTACATATAAAAACAATTTTTCTATACAAAGTCACTTTTTTAATCCACTTTCTTTCTTTCTTTTATTAAAATTTTTTTTTTTTTAGTTCCTTTCCGTTATTTCCCCAGTTAAACCTACACCAAACTTTTATAGAAAAAAACAAAAAGATAGGCTAAGGTATTATCTGGGAATTCTTTTCAGAATATATATCATTTTAAAATTATTTATGTCTCTAGCTTAATATTTTCTAATTTTCCTAATTATTTATAATACTTTTAAATTAACATATTTATTAAAAAATAATAATTAAAATAGTATATTTATCGTTTTATCTCTATTGATTATGAAGTATATAAATTAAAAAATTTAAACTTTCAAAAAGTTCTATCTTTGTTTTTTGTCAAAATAAATAAGTAATTAAAGACAACTAAAATAGAAAAAATGAAGAAGTAATTAAGAACAGAGGGAATATACGATAAATTAAAATAGATTAGATCAGCTCAATATTTTATAATTGTGCAGCAAATGAGATTGCTCTTTCATTGATCAAAGATTTCGAATCCAAATTTTAAATATAAAAAAATCCTAATAGAAAGTATTTTACGCTGAATCGGGTCATAAAACAAATTCGAAATAGTCGAGTTTTAATATGAATAGGCAAGCGAGAAAATTAAGAAAAAATTAGGAGAGAGGAATTACGTGTTAATTGACAAATAATGTGAGTGTTAGCCACGTCATTCTGATAATGAAATCAGCAAATATGGGACCCAATAGTCTAAGATCCGGCCCACAATCAGTAGGGCCCATTTCGTATGTGGTCGTACGTACGTCCACTTATGCTTTCAGGTACAAGTCTTTTCTGCATCATTCATTAATTCTGATAATAGCACTTCACGTCCCTCCTTTAATGAATAATGTTGATTCTAGTCCTATTAATTTATGATTTAATATATTAAATTTTTTACTTAGGAATCTTTGATTTTATAGTAATAAAATACAAGTTTAATACATGACTTATTCAATAGGAGTAGTCTTTTTAATATTTTAAATTTTTTATTTTAACGATTAAATTATTAAGGTATGTTATACAAATCAACTGTTTAAAACGTACAATTTTCCACCGCTAACAATGATTAAGATCACTCTATTATATATATATATATATATATATATATATATATTGTGTATTAAGCTTTGCTAATGAAATGTTTTCATTCTGATCTATATTAGCAATAGTTACAATAATAATGATTACGATTGAAAATTCATAAGTTATCATAACGATTTAAGTTTATTATACTATGCATTGCTATCATATTTTCTTCACAAATTAAAGCATATTTCATAACAAAAAGAAAAATATCTTTTTCGACATTTGTCTTTTTTGTATCTATTCTTCTTTTCTCTTTTATTGAAAAAAAACAAATTTATATTTGTCTTATTTCCCCAGTTAAACCTTCCACGATTACACCTAACTTTATTAAAGTTTATAAACAAAAAGGTAGATATGGCAAAGGTAGATGAGACATTACACAATATACCTTCCTTAAATCATCATAAAAAATATGGTGCAACGAATTAAATTACCTTTTTCTTAATTAAACTTCTCAATATCAAAATCTTTAAGGTAAAGACAATATTAATAGAGACTAAACCAATCACATTTGAATGATTCAGACTTTAATATGAATATCAATTGTCGTGCTTTAGTGCGAAAAGTTATTCGGAAAAGCCACATCATCTTTAACAAGGGACCCACATTGCCATTAGTGGGTCCCATTTCGTATGTGGTCGTACGTACGTTTCCCTATGCTTTCGGGTACAAGTCTATCTAGGGAAGGTCTTTTCTATATCATCTTTAAATTCTAATTACTGATAATAGCACTTTTAGTCCCTCCTTTATTCATTAATGCACATTTTGATCCGTTTAATTTTTAATTAATTAAAATATTATTTTTTTTATAGAAATATGTTATGTTTATTTGAACTTTTTAGTGATGTTGTACCTTCGAATATGTAGTAGTCAGAAGAAAATATTTTTTATTCATATATTATTAATAATTTTAAAAATGTTCGTCTTTTTAACTATCTAAACTTAGACATGTCATCCATTCATCACATTATATAAAAAGTGATCTTAAAATTTTAATAAAAATCTAGAGAAATATTGAAAAAGTTCATAAATTTAGCGAGAATTTAGAGATGTATTTCAGTTTCAAGATCAATCGTTTATTTAAGTTTAACTAATCAAGTAAAAATTATTTTTAAGACTGTCAATAATTTAAAAACAAAATCAATAATTCGTTTCAAGTTTATTAATAAATTTCTTTTAAACTATTAAAGATTACATATTCTTAGCCAGATTTTACAAGGACAATAATTGAAGGACTAGAAATGCTATTAACTATAAAGTTTTTTCCTTTTTCTTATTGGGGGGGGGGGGGGGGTTTGTACTAAAAATGATAAAATCTTCTAAGTTTCTTCCACCCATAAATAGTTAGTGCGTATTGAATCTCTTTTTTCAGATTTTCTCTTGTTGAATTAATAATTAAGAAGATAATTATGGAGTGGGATTGGTTAAGAGATTTCTTAAAAGGGATGATTAAGCCATTTGCTGCCCTTGTTGTTGTGTTTATGGCAATTGGATTATCTTATGTACAAAAATTGGGACTTGAAGGAGAAATGATTTATTCAGTATTTAGAGCATTTCTTCAACTATCCATTATTGGTTTTGTTCTTCAATTCATTTTCACTCAGAAGAATGTTGCTTGGATCATTCTTGCTTATCTATTCATGGTATGTTTTAATTTCTCTCTCGTACCATCTCTCATATAATAGTGTTATTATCTCAAAAAGTAATAATATTTAATTAGACGATCATCTAAGAAATCAATCGTTTAATTCTTCTTTGTTTATTGTGTTTTCAAATTTAGAAAAAGTAAATGTAGTATAATCTTTCTACATATGTGTTGACAAAATTATTTGAGATTGATTTGACATATCTTTGACTATAGATGCATGTGTCCATCTGTAATCGTTCGTTCGTAATTTATAAATATGAAATGTTGAAGAATGAACATATTTAGTAGACCTCATACAAATTCAGATATGGAGTTAAAATTTAAAATTTGTTGATTGAAAATTTTTATTAATTTAAATTATTGAATTTTAGTTAATAACCTATACGTATAGCTGAGAAAACTATAATTTCTATGGTGTGAAAGTAGAACTCATATAATTGCATAATATAACGTGAAAAATAAGAGAATCTATGTAAAGTTAGCAAACAAAAATATGTTGTACATTTTTATAGAAGAAAAAGAAATTTTATAGGCTAATTCTATTAACTGAAAACGAAAATATGTTTATGTCATATAATTAGTACATTTATTTCAGGTCATGTGCTTTAGAAGTTCTAAAAAGATACTACCTGTATTATTATTCTCTTGCTGTTTTAAATTGTTTATCGTAATTATAAAATAATTATTTAAATTTTTTTGTTTCATTTTAATTAAAAGTGAAATAATAAAAAATACTTCTAATTAAGATTATTTCAAAATGCCTATAAGAAAATAAAATAAATAATTTAATATGGACAGAGGGTAAAATAATTTACATGGACCAACATAATATTTATATATATTATCTCGATTTTAGTAGATTTTATACTTCTTCCTTAGGTCATTAATTACCTTTCTCGTTTCATTAAAACTTTATGCTTCTTTTGACTTTCGGCAAATAATAATGGGATAATGTACAAGTACCTCCTCAATCTATGTCCGAAATTTTTGAGACACATTTATACTATATTAAGGTCCTATTATCTCCCTGAACTTATTTTATTAATAATTTTTTACCTCTTTTCGACCTATGTAACACTATTTTGTGGGCCTATTGTTGGTTGACTTTTTTTTAAAAGATAGTGCCAAGGCTGAAAAGAGGTAAAAAATTACTTCTATAGTAAGTTCAAGGGGTAATAGGACCTTAGTATAGTATAAGTGTGTCTCTGGAATTTCGGGCTTAGGTTGAGAAGGTAATTGTGCATTTTTCTGATAATAATTCTTTAGAAGAATTGATATGAGTTATAGTAAAATATTTGTGATCCTTTTATTCTTAATTAGAAATTTCGAATCTAAATTTTATTTATAAAAAAAAAAACATATTGTGAGAATCTCTATGATAATAAATATAGCTTGCAATGCATAGACTCGTATTAAATGGAGTATTTGCAAATGATGTACTAAAAAAAAAATAATCAACAAGGACACGTTCTTATTCTTATTAAATAATTTTTTTTATTTGCACTTGTATTTTATTTTATGAATATTATCATCTAACAAATTGATTGTAGAATCCAAAAAGAAAAAAGTAAAATAATATTCTTCTCCCACTTGCTGATACTAATGTTGACTTTATTTTATTTTGCATCCCATGTTCTCTATTTTATTTTAATTTTCCATTTGGAGTATTGGTATTGGTTTCCACTTCCCAATCTCTTAATTGACCTTTCAAATCATCTTTACTACTCCACTTACACCTAATTAAAAACCTCCTTTTTGGTATGACATCATAATATATATTATTTTCAAAATTAATAGCTCGTTAAATTAAACTTAACTGATACATATATATATATATCTTTTAACTGTGAGTTAACACTTAAAATTTGTATGAAGTTAAACAAGTAGACGTTGCATGCAGAAAAATAGGCTTGCTTTGGTAATATTTGTTGATTTTGTAGGTTACAATTGCTGGTTATACTGCTGGACAACGTGCCAAACATGTACCAAGAGGAAAATACATAGCTGGAGTTTCAATTCTTGCTGGAACTTGTATTACTATGTTCTTGTTGGTTATTTTGAATGTTTTCCCTTTCACTCCTCGTTACATTATTCCTGTCGCGGGGATGATGGTTGGCAATGCAATGACAGTTACTGGGGTTACAATGAAGAAACTCCGCGATGACATCAAGATACAAATGGCCCTGGTACGTTAAGTTTTAAATCTTAATGTAGGCATGATGTTATGTGACAAAACAAATTCAAAGTTTTAAGAAAGAAAGTATGACTATTGAAACTTGTTTTTTGTTAACATGTCATTACATTTTTGTGTGGTTATAAGACATTTGATATAAAGGGTGTACTAAAATGAGAAGTTTAAGTTAAGGTATTTCTAAATTTAGAAAGTTGACATTCTTGTTTTGAACTGTTAAAAAGAAAATTTTGTCACATAAACTGGAACAAGAAGAAGTAGAAAAGTTGCTCAATTTTGATAGTACATTGCTATTAGTTTCAATTTTAGTAAATGAAAAATTTGGTCTATACTGAGTATGTTGTTCAGTGTTGGTGACAAATTTGGTCTATACTGAGTATGTTGTGCGTTGTTGGTGACAAATTTGGTCTATACTGAATATGTTGTTGTTGTTGTTAGCAAATTTGGTCTATACTGATTATGTTGTAGTTGTTGTTGGTGACAAATTTGATCTATACTGAGTATGTTGTCATTGTTTTTGGTGACAAATTTGATCTATACTGAGTATGTTGTCATTGTTTTTGGTGACAAATTTGGTCTATACTGAGTATGTTATTCGTTGTTGTTGGCAAATTTGGTCTATAGTGAGTATGTTGTTTGTTGTTGTTGACAAATTTGGTGTATGTATATACTAAAAAATGTAGTTTGTTTTGGCTAGGTAGAGACAGCATTGGCTCTAGGGGCAACACCTAGGCAAGCAACGCTACAACAAGTGAAAAGATCACTTGTTATTGCTCTGTCTCCAGTGTTGGACAATGCAAAAACAGTTGGTCTTATATCACTTCCAGGTGCAATGACAGGACTAATTATGGGAGGAGCCTCTCCTCTCGAGGCGATTCAACTGCAGATTGTTGTAATGAACATGCTTATAGGGGCATCAACTGTTAGCAGCATCTTCTCAACGTACCTCTCGTGGCCATCGTTCTTCACCAAAGCTTATCAGTTAGAAACAAAAGTTTTCTCCTCAGAGTGAAGAAAGGGGTTTTGAGTTTGAAACTAATGAACAAGATGTTTTACTAGTGAAAACTAAGTTTTTTCATATGGCAATCACATGTCAGTGTTTTGATTTACAGAAGCAGAACAATTGTTACATTCTGATCACCACAAAAATGTGTTACATTAGAGATCATATCTCCTCTAAAGTTGGAGCATCGCCATTAATCATGACGATGCTCCAATATTGAAATCAGATATGTTTAAACCCTGACTATTTCTTCTACCTCTCCCACGTTGAGCTTTCTGGGGACTCGATGGGCGTCTCAATGGAGCTGGTGATTTTACAGCTACATTGTGTTTTCTTCCTCTACCACGTCTCACATTTCCAGTGTTCACCGGTTTAGGTGGTAAAACTGGTGGTGTGAGACGTACATTGGCAGGTAACGCCACAGGCAGATTCACCTGTAAAACTGGTGGTGCAACACCACGCATATTGTTAACAGGATTCAAAGGGTTAACGCCTTTTACGTTTCCAATAGGATCATAGGAGCAAACAACAATGGCGCCTTTTTGATCATCACAATATACAAAACCACTACATCCAACTTTGGTTGTAGATCTCCATACAACGTTTAAGTAGTGACCACATTCACATCCTGCACGTTCAGGTTGGCAATTGCATTGATTCGTCGCGTGGTTGAAGAATTGCTTTTCTCCAAACCATTTCTGGACAATGCTAGTTGCTGTGTTCTGCCTGTAGAGTTCCCAGAATATGTTCTCTCCGTAAGGGCTTGTGGAGTGGTGCCTGTAATCGCATTGCTGCTTGCGCTGGTTCGCCCATGACTGGGAGAACGCAGCTAAGTTGGCGTCCCACTGTACGCTTGACCTCAAATCATTATGTGATTTAAGGAATTCCTGTTGGACCCAATCGAATTGAGGGACAACTGCTTCTGTAAATGAAATGAAAATGGAAAATAGCAGCAAAATTGCTGCTGTTGATAAGATTTGGGATTTTGATATTAGCATTGACATTGATAATGACAATGCATATAAAAAAATCTTAAATGGATTAATAGAAAAATGGTTTCAACTAATTTACATATTTTTGTTTTTTTGAGTTTTATGTTAGTTGTATACGAAAAGAGCAGCGTTAAAAGAGGAGATTAAGGTATGACCATGTTCAAATTCATATTCACCTCAAAAGATAATTAAAAGGTCAAACAATTCCAAACAAAGGAGTACATTTTTTTCATACTACCTTCAATATTAAATAAACTATGTAGAGTAGTAAAACTCTGGAATTTTAAAGCATCATTAACAAAGTTGATTTAGTAAAATTACAATCAAGTTAAAACATATTTTATCCGTCTAGGCGCATCAATAACAATTTTCCATTTACATTTTGCGCAAAAGCAGTTAAGACAGGGTAAGCTTACCTGCATCAAGTGTTTACACAAAGCCAATACATGCATGTCATTTGTTTAAATTTATTGTTTATTTAACTTTACTAAATCATGTAGTGATGCATTTTACTTTGATTTGGTGTAAACACCCGGTGCACATTAAGTTTTTTCCCTTCAAGACAATCAACTTTAAAAATTCAGAACACCATGATCCCTTGATTTCTATAATACATCAAAGTTCTATCCACTCATCAGTAAGAAGTATGAAAAAGTTTTCCATCCTAATTGAAACAATACAAGTACTCAGAAAATGTGTAAAAATTAGGATAGAATGAGAGTACTAAAGAATGGAAAATAAAACAACAGAAATGCATAAAATCATTGAAGATAGGTTTTACTGAAAGCTCAAAGACTAGAAACACAGCTAAATTAACATTGCTGTTTACAATTAACATAACAAGAAGAACAAACATATAACTAGATGTCTTCGTAATACATTAAAACCTACTTCTACACAGCCATCGACTGCAGCCTACAAGATTTACCTGGAGATACTAGGTAATTGAACAACACCTCGTTCGTGTCAATCTGTCCGAAATGACCCACATCAAGATTTTAAGAAAACTTGGAAAGCTCTTAAACAATTGAACCTTTCATAGAAAACAGCAAAAAAGAACCAGTTTGAAGGAATGTGGATTTGACGACTTTGACCATCATATAACTCCAGCAGTGTGTGCAAACAAGTTTCACAACCATTTGAGATGCACTAGCACGTAGCAAATATATATTGCAACAGATATAACTAGTCTTACCTTTCTAACTATGAAGAACCCAACAAGAAGATCAAATTTAGCATGGCCAAACGATATGATGCATCAAAGAGAAGTACAGATTTCTTGGATCTTTAAAAGCACGACAAATGCTTATCTGCTAGAGAACACAACATGCACTACACATCCCACTTCAGCTATTAGAGTTATGAAGGGTCAATAAGGTTATATTAAATAGCCAAATCAATGAAAACTTCTAACCATGGGGAACATTTAAGTTTTAACATCAAGCAATCTCTTATCTACTATGAACCACTTGGATAAGTCGAAACAAAAAATCTAGCATTGGTTGATCCTTGACATGCAACAGGAGTCTATATTTTTACTATGTTTAAGGGCAATGCACTACAATATAAATGTGACACATATTGCAGATTAATAACTGAGAGATTGAAGATGAAGTCGTCAAATCAAACCCTTCCAAGGATACTTTGGTCGTAGTTTCATCATTTTTAATATTGATCATGGGTCATTTCCGGTAGTTTGATGCCAAGGAGGTGGTTGTCAATTATCCTAGTGCTCTCCAGAAACACATAGTATGCTATTTTAGGAAGACCAGAAAAGCCTTTTGTGCAGTAATCGAAAGCCAAAATTTATATAAGCTAAAGAAAGGTCAAAAACTTTAGTATCCAAGCCCACCAACCTGCAAGAATTGGAAATAAGTGGTTAAAAGATGAGGAACTCCAATTCTGCAGTTAACAAGGCCCTAACCACAACCCAACAACAGTAAACTATACAATCAAGCAAGTCTTACTCGTTAATGAAGTTTGGAATCATTCAGGTTCTCCAGCCTTGTCCGCAGCAACAGCTTCCTGAATTAAATATATCCATAGATTAGGAAAAAGCTCTTACATTACATAAAGAAATAAGAGAAAGATCCCTACAGATGATATACACTAGTTGGAAATAAGTTTTTTGTCTTTGTTAGAGCGTTACTGTGAAGCTATTGCTTTTGTACATGTACTTGACCTTATCAGAGATTTATATGCCAGTAAAAATATAGAAAATCGTTGTTGTTAGTTTATATATATATATATATATATATATATATATAAAACTTATCTTTCACTTTTACTTTTATTTGGTCATGATGAATGAGTTGTGCTCAAAGGAAGAACATGGACAGTTGGAGTTCATATAGCCGACCCCAAACTGTTTGGGGTGAGGCCTTGTTGCTTGTAGAGGAAGAAAGAAAGAAAGAACCAAACAAAGAGGGATCCAGAATTTGATAACAGTGAGTACAGAATCCTGACGGTGATAACCACTCAACAAACAAACAACAAATGTTTAATATATATGGAAGTATAAAAACAATTACTGAGCCCAAAATAAAAACCCATTCACTAAATGTCACTACACTAACGTAATAGTTTTTTTTTTTGTTGAATCTTCTTTTCTATTTTAGCATGGTAATCCAAGAGAGGAGCGAGGTTAAACTTCTGTTCCTATTCTTTTCTGTCTGAGAGCCCCCACCCGATTACGAGATTGCATAACAGGGCACATGCATTTCGGTGAGTTGGTGCACCTTTTTCCTTATATAATCCTTTTCTTGGGCTGTAGAACTATAAAACAGAGTAAAGAGAACTGATTGACAGATTGAGAGACTTTTATGGGGTTGTTAACAGACTTATACAGGGTTAGCCATTCAATCCCAGGGAGGTGGAGGCCTAAGAAATCGTGCGAAGTGTTGAAGGCCAAAATAAATAAATAAAAGTTCTCCTCTTTAATAGCTTAAACTGCTAGGTGAGGAGGTGACACAAGATCTGTCTCTCAGATCATGAATACCAAGTGAATAATCAAAGTAAATAACATTCAAATGCATAATGATGTCACTTCTCTTTTGTCTTTTTGGCCAAACCTTGTGCACTGTTTATAAAACAAAAACAGACCTGCTCAATATTTCCTTTGCCATTTGCTTGTGGTTGTGAACCAGGCTGGGGTTGTGAAAACCTATTATAAAAAAAATAATTGTGCATCACTATCAGAATCAAGTCATAAATCTGACAAACACTCATTTATCCATAGATTCTTACTGATATAAGGATGGAAAATATTGTGCAGATTCCAAGGTGTAATAAAAGAAAATGAACAATTTTAACTTTTTACAACCTGAGAGCCCTAGCTTTCCTTTTATCTTCCTCCACTGGATCAGCCTTCCCTGGAAGCGCAAACCTTGTCAACCTAGCCTTCTTCTTCTTAGCCTCCTCATCAGTTGTGTCAGATTTCACAATCCCAAACCTGAGGAGCAACAAAACCGATGAAGAATTCATAACCAAACAGCAACAAACCCAGTGTAGTCCCATAAGCGGGTCTGTAAAGGTTAGAGTCTACGCAAACCTTACCCCTACCTTGAGGAGGTAGAGAGGCCATCTCTAAAAAATCCTCGGCTCAAGAAGAACTCTTAATGAATTTAACTAATACATCTCAGATGAAGAAAACAGGAAGAAATAGAAACCTCTCGGCCCTAGCCTGCCTCTTATGCTCCTCGGATTTCTTTAAAGCATCTGACCCTTGAACTGGTGATCCAGTGCCAAACCTGTGAAATACAATTAAAAAAGCTGTCAAGAAGTGCAAAACACATAAATGCTATCAACTTTTCTGTTTTTTCCTGACAAACTAAGAACTGTTGTTCACTTGTCTCATATAACTACATGTTTGATTGCAGGTCCAACCAGATAGATACTAAAATCTCAGAAATTAGTATACAATACCAGAACCTTCGTTATCAGTTAAGTGTCTCGACATCCTAGTATAAACCTCTAGAAACTAATTAACAGAACACCTTCTCAATTAATCATTAGAATCAGGAAAAAATTGAGTAGATTGCCCAGCAATTTTCCTCACAACAACCAGAAATCTATTGTCAATGCATATAACCACCAATGTCCACCACAACTCCTCAAATATGTCCAGTTGAACCTACTGATACTGCAAAGGAACTACAATTATCGGATAGAAAATCTAACCTAAAAAAACAATTAAGACTGCTAATTTCCAGCAAGAGCAATTAAATAGCAGTTGTATTGAGAACAATCTCATAAAAAAAATACTAACAGTTTCTAAAAGTATATAGACAAAAAATTTATATGTGCTGATATTTGAACTCAGGATCAGCCAAAATTAGAGAATAAACCACAAACAGAATTGCATGTAACGACTTGAAATACCTCTCAGCTCGGGAACTTCGCTTCTCTTCTTCGGATAACTTAACAGGCATTCCGAACCGCTCCGCTCGTTTCATCTTCTTCTGAATATCATTACCCTGACAACTGTCATCTCCTCCCGCCGCCTTGATTTCCTCTTTGGCACCATCGGTTGGTGGTGATTTCGGCGAGTCGGGTGCGGAATCGGGAGGAGATACGCTTTCAGCCGATGGCTTGGGATCTGACGGCTCATCTAGAGTTTTCATATGGTTATCTGGATTCTGCTGCGCCGTCGTAGTGGTGGCCATAGCTGAGGATCGATCGAAGAGATAAAGAGAACTTTGGAAATGGCGATTCCAAAACCACGGAATGGAAGCGGTAGCTGCTTTTTCTGGGATATGGCTCGTTCAGTTCGGACTTTGGAGGCCGATATTTTCTAACTAAAATTCCCAAAACACCCTTAACTCCCTTATGGGTTTGTTTCCATTATCAATTTATTTTCTCTCTTAAAATATTTTCTTTTACTAACTATATTAAATTTAATGTTTTAATAAATATATTCGAAGGTAAATAATATTTGATAACAATGATAAAATAGATCTAAAATGTAAATTATTTCTTAATATTTTAAAATGGACAAGTATTGTTCACGCTTTAAGCGATGAGGCGCTCACATGCACATTTTAGTCTTTGATGAAGTGTAGAAGGCACGCATCACTTTGAGCCATGAAGCGCTCGCTTTCCTAAACACAAATGGCTACAAATTCTTGTACGAGAATGATAAAAAAAATGGAAGAAGTATTAATGAATTATTAATTTAATTTTAAACTATTGTCAATTTAAAAAGAAACATTTTTATTTAATTAACTAAAATCAAATAAATTCCTTACAAATACTACTATTGATTTTGTCTCCAAATTATTAATTATTTTAAAAATATCACTCATCTAACTAAATAAAATATACCTTCTTTAGCAATATTACAAAATCAAGATTGTATTTAAATTTCATTGATAAAAAATCATTTTTTTAGCTCAAAAATAAAACTAATTATTGAGTGCTTCAAATAAATGAGTGGACAATTTGGGAATTGTGGTCACTTTCCTATCTGTGAAAATCAGCAGAAAGTTGTGATAGCCATTTTCATTGTTGAAGAAAGCTAAAGAAGAGCCATGGATTTGGCTTCCATAATCCATAACAACACTACTCAATCCCCTCCAAAGTTCCACAAGATTTCCCCAATCTCTTCGCCTTCTTCATCCCCCAAATGGGTTCACTTTCAATTAGCTCATCTTCGCTTTCCACCACCCATTTCAGGTAATTGCTCATGTGTAAACCTGAGTAGATAGAATATGGTACTAAAGTTTCTTTTTTTTTTTGTTTGCAGTTGGGTGTAAATGTAGAGGAAGAAGATATAGTGCGGTGGTTTCCTGCTTGAGAAAATCTGAACAAGGGGAAGAGTTGTCTAATGCTGGTTAGATATTAGAATTCTTATTACACTACTTGTTTTCATAAGTAATACACTCAAATTTGGCCTCAACTAGCAAGTAAAACTCCAACTTTGAGTCCGCACATCTAGACACCTTAACTCTTAATACACTCCGTCAGTTGAACACTCTACATACAAAATGATCACCTAGACACCTCCGAAATTTATGTGTCACGTCAGTGTATGGTATCCACGAGACACTAGGGACGAGTTGGAGTGTTTAGGTGTTAGTTGAAACCAAGTTTTAAAGTATCTAGATGTGTACTCTCAAAGGTTGGAGTAGTTACTTGCTAGTTGAGGCCAAGTTTGAGTGTGTTTATCTATTATGCCAAAAATATACTCAGCTAAAGAAAATGAAATGATAAGAATTTGGAAATTCACTATTGTGCTGATAACGTATCATACTCTATGAAGTTCTGTAGATGTGGGATTTCCCAGCATGATAACATAGTCACGTTCAGTTATTTTTGCTTAGGACATGTTGAATTTCTTTTCTATTGGTCTGGACTTGGAAAAGAGAATACTAGAATAAAAATTGGATCTTCGTTAAAACAAATATATCCAGTACTATTAACCAAAATCCAGACCAGAAATCTATCTTTGTAGAGTCATGTAGATGATCAGGATAATGATCTCCCTTTGTTTTTCCTTGTTGCTGTACCAAATCATGTCGTACAAGTGAAAAGCAAATGTTACTGCATAGATACCCGGGTTCATGAAATATTGCCTCACACTTCTTCTCTAGTAGTTTACATTTAGCATCTAATGCAATAGCATATTCGTTGCCAATGTTATATACGCTCTTTCATAATGTTTTTAACTCTGTCACATTTTTAGCTTTATAATAACTCGGTTGTTAATACTAATATGACCATCCTTGCTTCCATATGATTGATTTATATGCCAAACATACCCCCCGCCCCCCATTCTGTAAAAACAAAATAAATGGGGAACTTAGTTCAAGTTTCTGTCACCATTTAATTATCAGGATAATGAATTCACCTGCAAGCTCTTCCGAAGGTTTTTATCCATTATAATCTTCACCACAAAATCATTTTAATTTGATCTCCACTGGTTAATTTACCAAAATGGCTTCAACTTACTATCCTGCTAACATGAAAACTATAGAAAAGGACATAAATGATATCCATCACTTCATCAGTCTTGGGAATTTCTGTTAACATGTTCTAAGGTCATCAGTGTTGGCACTAACGATATTAAGATGTCTCATAATACATTTGCTGTTGATGAAACAGAAGAAAGAACTCAAGGGTCTGGAACTTATGTGTCTTCTGTCAAGACAGTAGCCTTGTGTGTAAGTAATTCCTTGCTATGGTCATAACAGTGTTTATAGTTTGTCAGACTGATCTAGAGCACTCTAAATTGAAGGAAATATAGTGATGGATTTATATAGGTGTTTTCAGCAGTGGCATTTGGTGTTGGCGTGGGACTCACGGATGGAGTCAGCAAGTCATCTGAATTTTTCGCTGGGTAAAGAGTCAATTACTTTTCTCAGCATACTGAAGATTTGAGCCTATCAATTTTGGAAATACTTGAAGTTCTTTGTTGTTTTAAGATGATAGAACCTCTGTTGTTGATTGCGACTGCAGAATTTGGAGTACATCAAAATTATTTGTAATGCTAAAACGATAACAAGAATATAAAGGTATATAGAATTGGCACTATATAATAACTCTGTGATTCAAGTGAGAAGACTCTGGGAAACAGATATGTGAAGTAGAGAAAAGGAGAAATAGTTGGGTGTGGGGACAGAAAGAGAGTTCTTACAACTCTAATTATACTATAGCTTGATCCTTTGCATAAGTGTGCTGTATTTTTATTAGGCAATGTGGTAGTCACCAGGTAGAATAGTAATTTGACAATGTGTTTCACTGAGAGAGACTATTTATCAGGGCTCATTTTAAGTAATGGACCAAAGATTCTTTAATTCAAAGTTAGAGATCTCATGTCTAGGTTATCAAGCAGAGCAATGGTTCTATTGATTTGATACACACATTCAGGGATGTGGCCTCTGTGAAGTGTTAATAAGGGGTCAACCTAGAACAATACTCTATCTTGGAGTTATTAACTGTGCCAGGTGAATACATTACATGTTTGATTGGGGAAAGAGTTTGTGGTGGTCAGGAGTGAGGATCTCTGAAGTTTCATTTCAACGAATTCATAAAATAAGCTGTGACTGTACCCTTTATCACATAAGTGCAAGATGTTGCATAGATGCTATTGGCCTGGCCATGAAAATTTGATTGTTTACAGAGAGTGTTCCTCCTGACGATAAACATGAAATTTTCTCCATTGTAAAACTTAAAGTCTGCTTTCTTTTGTCGTCTTTCAGTAAATAGTGAGCAAGCAGTTTCTTGATGCTGTTTATGAAGTGCAATAAAATTCTCATTTTGCCCTTAAAGTTGTAAATGTTGTGGTGCTGGATTGCACTGAGGATTGAGTAGTTTGATTTTTTTTTATTACTCAATTTTAGACAATGGGCTGCCTTCCTAGGTCTTCGAATTTGTTCCTATCAAGTTCCAGTGCTTCTAGGCGTGACTGTTTCTGGATTTACTGGTTTTAGGTTTCATTATACATTTTCAGGTATCTGCTGGAGCAGAGTTTGTCAGTGGATAATCTATTTGTATTCGTTCTGATATTCAAATATTTCAAAGTACCACTTATGTATCAGGTGCGGTGCTAATCTTTCTGCACTTACTGTCCGTGCTCGCGATGTTTGTGTTCATTCTGGCCCTACTTTTACTTTATATAAACTGGACAGTGTTTGTATGTGTCAATTTTGAGACCGTGTTCATGATGCAAATGTGTGTATTGGGTCTACAGAACCGGGTGCTATCGTATGGAATTGCTGGTGCCATAATCTTCAGGTTGTCTATCATACTGCTTGGAACAGCAACCCTGCAGGTTGGCTGCTAATTTCATTGCAAACATGTAATTACACAAACATGCAAAAGTTCCAACTTCCAAGTATATCCCCCTACCCAGAGAAGTACACATTATTCAGAGTTATTCACATCTATCATTTTATGTCATTATAGAGATTTGAGGCAGTTAACTTACTGTTGGCTGGGATTCTTCTATACTCATCATTCAAGGTGAATTCTCTTTTATCTACTTTCATGAGAATTAAAACACTATCTTTGAGCTTCTTTTTGCTGATGCAATGTTTTTAAGAAGATAAACTTATGTTACATGGTCCTTGATTTGCCTTGATGTAGCCGTGTTGAACAATTGTGACATGAGTGTGGATACTTTGTGTGAATTCTTCACATTAAAAAATAGCAAAGTACTTGTACCTTATGCTTGTGCATACATATGCGGGATACTTACACATAAACGTACCTGATACTTAAGTATATCTATAGTGGATACATGTTCTTAGTTGAGTCCATGTAACATTTATAATTTTTTGAAAGCCCATGTAACATAGATAAGAACGAGCATTCCCCAAAAGATTCTGATAGATGCACATATGTCTGTGGATATCACTCATGGCCCATGGGAGGTAGGAACAAGCGCGGGGTTAGGAGTGGCTATTAGATACTTAATTCATGATCATCACTTTGAGGCCTCAAAAGAGTCTTCTCACTGTTCATAACTGTGTTTCTCCAGTAATGCTTATGATGATTATTTTCTGCAACTGCTATTTTTTGTTCAAATAATATTACTAAGGATCCTATGTATGAACACCATGACTACCAAATTACTTGGATCAACCCTGATGCATTAGTAGCACAATGCCGGGGAAGCCAATTTTAGAGAAATTTTGAGGACTGAAAATAGTAGGTCTCTGAATTTCTGAGAATACTAGAAGATGCTAATATATCAGGAGGAAACATGCAGTGAGGTGGAGACATTAGAGAGATGGAAAGTACTGTCAGGTATGGTTATGAAATATTAACCACAGATTAAAATGGTCCACTGCAGTGGCCTTGGAAGATAATCTGAAAAGGCAATGCAACTCCCTAGGTGGCCAAATTTGTCTGGATTGATGTGCATGAAGGTTGTCTAACTCAATCAAGTTTACGGAGTAGGGATTTCATAATGTGTAATAGATGCTTCATATGTGAAGGAAGTGGAGGAGAGATACATCACTTGTTCATATACTGCCTTTAAAGCATGTTTTCAGTGTGTACAATTTAAACTGGGTATTCTGTTAGGCCATTGAAGGAATTGCTGTGGAGCTGGATTTGAAAGCAGATGGGAAGAGAGAACAGGAAGATATGGTTTACTATCCCAGCCTGCATCATTTGGGTAGTTTGACAAGACTAGAAGACATTTTGAAGTTTTAACCAATCGAATGTAAAAAATTAGATATATATGCAAGATATTTGATGTTAACATGCTACTTGAGTTCATGAGCTCCCTAGACATTAAGGAGGTAGCCTGAGTTCTTGACTTGTACATATTAACACCTTCTTGGTGCTTTCGGTGAACTAAAAGTCTGACCACTTGCTTAAAAAGAAGATAAAGGCAGAGCCATCTCTACAATCGCTGCAAATCTAGTAAACAGCTTTAACATTTTCTCTATGAGGGATTGTCGATTACGCCATGTTTTCGAGTAATTATCTAGAAGAGAATACCAAAAATACAAACATTTAAGAATTATCACTTCAAGTCATGCAATAAATGCTGCCAGAATTTTGAGTTTTACCAATCAAGCCTAAAAGTATGTTGAAAGAGATGGCTAGATGCTAATTGGAGTTCCTCTCGATGTAAACAATATATCTTGGTTTAGTACAACGACTCTTCTTTTTCATGTCTTGTGAAAATAGACTTTAGTAGACAAGCTTAGCATTAAGGCCCCCACCTGTTCTGAACTGTTGTAAGCTAACTAGAAGAGCACCCATGGGATACCTAAACGGGCTCATATATTACTCTCTGATCGATATTGTTTTTCCAAAAACATTTTTGCAACTTAATTCATGATGCCTGTTTTTTTAATCTTATCATAGTTGTTCACTGGAGAAGAAGAAGATGCTGATCTATCTGACAATTTCATTGTGAAGACCTGCCAGAAATTCATTCCCATCACATGTAAAAATTTCTGTATCTTTTCATAATTAAGTGCAATATTTGGCTTCTAGTTGGTCTTGTATGTTCTCCTTCAAATGAATGCTGATTTGATTTTTTTTCTTATGTTGGTACTGATTTGGTATTGGTTGTTCTGGAATAATTGAAGTGATCAAGTCCAACTACAAGTCCAACTGCTAGTTTAATCTATAAAAAAAAAAGAGTATCATTTTCTCTGGGGGCATTAAATTAGTGACGGTGAGACAATTAGGGCCGATGTCCTTCCGAAAAACTAGAAATCACTTATAGAACAAAGGTATGGTTTGGTAATACGAAGAGAAAGAAATGCTAGAGTTTTTGAAGGCAAGAAGGGTAATATAATTAATCTTAAGCTCAGGTGTATATCTTTACGTATTTTTTGGTGCAACAACACTATGGCACATATACTAGAGCCAGATGTGATAGTTGACTGTCTTAGTTCTTTATGGACATTGTAAATTCTCTTTTGGATGTACTCTTGGCCCAGCATACCCTTATCGCTGGTTTGTGTTACATCAACAATATTCTTGTGATTACCTATTTTTGAACAAAGGTACACTTTTAGCATATGATTAAAAAGTACATCCAATTCGCCCTCCTGCTATTGATCTGTTGGATATCACCAAAATTCATGGTCCAGTTCAACTAAAACTCCATATATAGAAAATACTCCCTTTTCTAGCTACATGTTTGCTTTGATTTAGGTAATGTTTCTCCTGTCTGAGATTAATGTTCTTCTAGTTTCGTGATGTTATTCGAGCTACTCTTTGGTTCATATGAATTATGATACATGAGTAGGATCCAGGAATAAGTTTCCTTAGGATGATGAAGCTCTGGTCCTTATACATAAATTTAACCTTTCAGCTTTTGAAATATATGGTGATTTTTCAAACTTATCTTGGTGTTGCAGCTGAATATGATGGTGACAGGTTCATAACTTTGCAGGATGGTGTATGGAAAGTAAGTCAACAGGGAGTTGTTTTAGCAGTTCAATTTTATCTGTCTTAGCATGTCACCTCAATAATATTCATGTATATATCAATTTGTACTTGTAAATTTCAGGCCTAACAAAATCCGGTATCTTTTGACCATCTATACAAACAAAAACCTGTGTACTTGTTATATAGTTTTCTAGAATATTTTGTAGATTAATTTTTCTGATTTTTAACAGCCTTAAACATTTTGGGCAGGCTACACCTTTACTTCTTACAGTAGCGGTTATTGAACTCAGTGATATTGCATTTGCTGTGAGTTTTCTGTTCATGCTGGATTTGACATATCTTAAAGGCTAACATACCTGCTTGTTTCCGTCCTAACAACAATGTTGTGTTCTTCTCAGGTTGATTCTATACCAGCAGTTTTTGGTGTCACAAGAGATCCTTTCATAGTTTTCACATCCAATCTCTTTGCAATTTTAGGTAAAGCCCGTGTTCTTTACTTTGCTTCTTAATGTAAGTTTTTAACCACAAGTGCTAAAAAAAAGCCCATTACTAATTGAAATGCGATTTCTTGTACCAAATTCGAGTTGGTTTAAACTAGTGATAATTGACATATGTTCTTCTATGCTTTGTAAAGGACATTTCGTTGACGTTTTTTTCATCAATTCATATATATTGAGGACTCATGTGCATGGAGTTAGTTGTTCACGAAAAAATCTGTCTTGTTTTTACTCATTCTGATTTCGCGAAGAAATAGATTTTTATCTATTACCCTTCTGCGAAATATGTTTTTCTTCCGTATAAACTAGGTGACCAACCTAGCTCTTCTTATGCAGGATTGAGGTCATTGTACACACTCATTTCTGAAAGTATGGGGGAGTTGGAATATCTACAGGTGAGTATTGACTTGCTTTTATAAGTCTCTGCTTGCTTTTATTATAACAGCCATTCACTCAATCATCCCAAGTCAGTCATGATTGCTCAAGTTAAAGCCCTTGTTCTACAGATATGAAATGGTAGCATTAAGATAATAAATAATACAAATCAAACTAGCCGCTAGTGGATGATAATTTTTAACTAAGATCCAATTTCTGTTCAGCCTTCCATTGGTGTTGTCCTGGGATTCATTGGAATCAAAATGATCCTAGACTTTTTCGGTAAGTTTCTGCAAACATCAGTTGAGCCTTTTTCCTCTTACAACTGAAATCCCTGGTAAGTGTCTTAACTGATATCAAAATTCATGCAGGATACCATGTTTCCACAGAGGCGTCTCTTGGTGTCGTAGCAACATGCCTAAGCGCTGGAGTCTTGCTTAGTCTTGTAAAGAAATCTGATCAATGAGTCTGGGTGCTCTCTCGAGATCATGTTCTTTAGGAGGATAGAAGAGATATCTATGGTGTTCCTTTTTTTTCTTCTCTTTGTCGTTGTCTTGAACTTTCTCTGTCCAATGTACTTTGACAATGACAAAATTAACAATCTTTTAACATGTTTCTTTTTGTAATGATTTGATTTCTTAATACAACTCAGGTTGAGATGAGTTATTACAACGATCATCTTCTTGCCATATATCCATGGACAACACTTGATCTTTCTTACCTCAATAATATGGGGAGTCAACAAGTCATTTTAATGAGACTGATGAGAGCAAATTGAAAAGTAAACCAACATTGAAAGAAGAAGAAAACAAAATGTTCTTGTAGTAGGCATTCAAGAGTCATATATGCTAGCTTGTAGTATTACAATTTTAAGAGTTCTCCTGGAAAATGTCATTTCAACATACATAGCTGCAGAAATAAACTGAATCACGCGATTGTACATGATAATGAGCTATTCTAATACATACTTGCACTCGTAAACACAAGCCATGTCTGTACAACAAAAATACCGGACCAGGATTTGGAGGTTTACCAAAGAATGACGAAAACCACAAATCGGACAAACATAAATTACCTATTAATGCAATAATTAACAGGAACTAGCAGCTTCAACTGAGAAAGAACAAGGGAGGACCTCATAGTTGGTCTGATTTCTGAGGGAAAAAATATTTGTTGCGCAAATATACTTCAGGTGATTGAACCTGCACTCTAGGTGTCACTGATTGTGGTTTGTTATCTGTACTTTCAACTTAGCTGATATTCAAGAGGTTCCAGTCTTGGCTCCCCCTTTTTTGATGATCTTGTTTTGTTCCCATCACCCATCTAGTTCATAGCTCCATTTTAACCTTTTTTGCAGCTTGTCACCATCGTTTCATTCTAGGTGAAGTAGCAGGTCCTGGCCGTGAAGTTTGGATGCCCCCTCGGGTTTCATGGTCAAACTTTTGTGAAGCAAGGTAAGTCAAAGCCGTGACAACGTCTGCTATGACTGGACGCATGTTAGGTTGCTCCTGAACACACATTGCTGCAACTGCTAGAGCTTGGTACATGCCTCTTACTGGATAATGGCCTTGTAGCATTGGATCAGCCATCTGTGAGAACTTCCTCCGATCTTTGAACAATGGTCTTGCCTGATATACAGAGCACAACTATATAATTAGAAACTTGGTTCTCTTTATGGCTGCCAAACAGAAAAGAACAATCTACAGATTCTACATCACCCCCGCCCTCCACACATATAATGCCCCATGTAACCAAAGAGGACCTAAACTCTATAAATCTCTCCTCTGCTCCATTTGACGCACAATAGAGGATCAAGATTTTCCTTAAACATCACATATACGAGAACTTGAAAGAAATTCTAGACTTCCGACACTGAATGTTCCACTACCTTCCAGCTTTAAATGGAGATTAACAGCACGCACGTCTACATCAACTGAAATACCCAACCTTGCCCCTATCCCCATGGTGAAGATACATTGCTTCAAGTGGTGTCAACTGACACCGTTCCATTGAGCAGCACGTCAACATCAACTGGTTCACCCAGCCTTAAGAATGATAGTACATTTGTTATTTCATTCAGGTAAAAAAGTACTCTAGATCTTCCACAAAGGATCCTAAAGTCACTTAAACACATTTTCTTCCAGATAGTGCACTAAAATTTTCAAACCGTATTAAATCAGCAAATAACCAGTTTTTTAACTCATTCATTGAACTCATCTTATGGATTTTGCAGATACTGTAGAGACATTTTGTAACTGTCCGATAATACTTCTTTCCCTTCTATAGTTGAACAACTATACCTATAGAGATCATAATACATCAATGAAACAAAAATCCACCGCCGAAAAAAGAGTTGCCAAAAAGCTGTATGATAAGGAAATCATACCCATATAACCAGATTGAAATCTCCTCCAGTTTTTGAACTTTCAATTGCTTTCCTGCCTGTAATAATCTCCAGGAGGACTACCCCAAAGCTGTAAACATCTGACTTCAAAGTCAATTGTCCTGTCATGGCATACTCTGGTGCACAGTACCCATAAGTACCCATAACTCTTGTAGAAACATGGGTGTTATCCCCTACAGGCCCCAATTTGGCCAACCCGAAGTCAGAGAGCTTCGCATGATAACCCTCACCAAGCAAAATGTTGGAGCATTTCAAATCACGATATATTACAGGGGGACTTGCACTGTGTAAATATTCCAATCCTTTTGCTGCTCCGGCAGCAATTTTCATTCTTGTGTTCCAATCTAGCCGTTCCTTACCTGGCGTAGGATCTGCAGAGCAATACTTCAATTCCAAATTTAATCCGACTTCAAATAAAATGAAAAGGAAATTCTACCTAAGAAATATTACCATGAAGATGGTCCTCCAATGATCCTAATGGCATATATTCGTAGACCAGAAGTCTCTGATCTCCATCAGCACAATAGCCAATTAGATTTACAAGGTTAGGATGGTGTAACAGACTTAACATCAGCACTTCGACAAGAAATTCCCTGTTGCCCTGCAATCCATTACGATCTAGTTGCTTGATGGCGACGACCTGCACCATTAAAAGTCAACAAAAGGTGTTAAACTTCAGCTCCAGCTAACAACTTAGACGTGAGAAGCAAACCATCAAGCATGGTGGCAACACTAGAAGAAAATGTAAATGACTTTGTCAGTTATACCTTTGCCTATTTCAACTCGAACCTCACATATATGTGAGCAAAGGGAATTGAGCCCAATTAGCTCAACGAATATGATAAAAACCCTAATAGAAACCAAAGTATCCATGAAATGTACATCACCACTTGTTAGAAAGAAGAAAAGCATTTTCCTTATTTGAGTAAGGCCTAGTCTCACTTTGCAGATGCTAAAGAACAAAAGTGAAATTTACGTTTCAGATTTCTCATGTAACTAAAAACTCAAGTGACCCAGTGTTCCACCTTTTGCCAATTGACAGACTGGAAAGAAGTCCCAAGTGTTGACCCTCTGCAAATGAGCCAACTGAAAATAACATAGCTATGCTCATCTGAAAGGGATAAAAGTCTGTGGCCGTGGCTCAGTAAGAATCAAGAAAAAAAATCAGTAAAATACTCCGAAGATTTACAGAACAGCTCAGTAGGAAGTGCAACAGAATCTCGTACATTAGAGGCAAACCAAACTATTGATTTCTTTTTTACGTTCCATTATTAGCCAAAAGCAAAAAAGACTTGATGAGAATTGACCTGATTGGACTCGATCACCCCTTTGTAAACTCTACCAAAGCCTCCTTCTCCAAGAAGATAATCACCTCGGAAATTTTTTGTTGCAGCTGCTAAATCACGAAATATAAAAGTCTTGGCTGCAATTTGGTTGGACCCTGCATCCTTATCAACTTCCTTTGAGCGTAATGAATTCTTTGATTTCAACTTATCTAAAACAAGAAAATAAAATAGAAAAGTAAGCAAAAGCATGACATTGAAGTGAGGCAACGAGTGTTCAGAAATAAGAAGGATGATTGACAAGAGGGGAAAATGACATCTAAACTTTTTTGTTGGTTCAACTTAGGGATGGGGGAGGTTGTTTGAAGTTTGAACTATGAAGCGTCATTAACTATAAAAGATTGCTTAAAATTCGAACTATGAAACTTCACTAGTTGATGTTGGTTACGTTAGAAATTTCGATATGGCATAATATGGCATATGCTACCAAACACAGCAACAATTGACGAGCTTAGAATAATGGTACCAATAATATATCTATGACAACCATGTGTTCTTCAAAATTTAGTAATGCACAATTCACATTTTTACCTGATAGGCAGATAACTAGTTATGTGATATGATATGCTGAGATAAAAAAGTTAAAACTCCAAAATCTATATATTGTGAAATGGAGAAGCTGCAAATCTTTGGAGGTCAAAGTGTTTTTGTCCTTTTCTTATTTTGTCCACTAGACGATATTGTCAATGATACTTTCCACCAAGGCATAGTCAGATAGGAAAAGATCATCCAACATTTCATTTTCTCATCCCAGCTTCACCGCCTTGGATCCAACTACAACCTAGACTAAATTAACCAGAGGGAGCAGGTCATCCAGCACTTCCATAACATACTACCACAACAATCAAGTAGCATAACATTTAAATTTCAAGTCACTGATTATGATATCAAGATCCAGATCAAAGTACCCCTGATGGTAAACAGCTGAATATCCAAGAATCAGAAGTAAAAAACCCAAAACAACCAAAACCCACAAAAATTGGACAAACATAACGCAATCCCATTTCAGCAAATCAAACATTCAGTTGACTTTATAAACAAAGATTACAATTTTACAACTTGAATATCCAAGAATCAGAAGTAAAAACCCAAAATAACCAAAACACACAAAAATTAAACACACATGCAGCAACCCCATTTCAGCAAATCAAACAATCAGTTGATTATATACACAAAGATTTCAACTTTCAGCTTGAGTATCCAAGAATCAGAAGTAAAAACCCAAAACAACCAAACCCCACAAAAACTAGACAAATATAGAGCAACCCCATTTCACCAAATCAAACAATCAGTTGACTATATACACAATATTACAACTTTTAAGCTTAAATATCCAAGAATCAGAAGTAAAAACCCAAACAAACAAAACAAACAAAAATTAAACAAAAATAAAGCAACCCCATTTCACCGAATTAAACAATCAGTTGACTATATACACAAAGATTATAATTTTACAGCTTAAATATCCAAGAATCAGAACTAAAAACGCAAAACACACAAAAACTAAACAAACATAAAGCAATCCCATTTCACCAAATCAAACAATCAGTTGACCATATACACAAAAAAGTACAACTTCACAGTTTGAATAACAAAAAAAAAGAAGTAAAAAAAAAACCCAACAAAAATTAAACAAACATAAAGCAGCCCCATTTCACCAAATCAAACAATCAGTTGACCATATACACAAAAATTACAAATTCACAACTTGAATATCCAAGAATCACAAGTAAAAACCCAAAACAACCAAACCCCAACAATAATTAAACAAACATAAAGCAACCCCATTTCACCAAATCAAACAATCAATTGACTATATACACAAAGATTACAACTTTACAGCATAAATATCCAAGAATCAGAAGTAAAAACCCAAAATAACCAAAACATCCAAAAATTAAACAAACATAAAGCAACCCCATTTCACCAAATCAAACAATCAGTTGATTATATACACAAAAATCACAACTTGTGCAGATTGATAAATACCAGTAGAGTGCCGGCCCGAATCGACTGAATTTTTCTTCTTTGAGGTCTGTTTGGATGGTCCAGAACAAGGAAACCAACCCATTTTCTTCTCCTTTACAACTTGAGAGAGGCGAAGTTTTTGCACAGCTGATTAGCTGTCTACAAAAGTGAAGACGGAGGATTAAACCTTTTCGTGGCTCTTTCTTTTCTTTTTTTTCTTTTTTTTTTACTGTTTTTATTACAATAATTGTCGGAATTTTGTAATTTTTAGTTTTAAGTAAGAGTAAATACTTCATATGACTTCACTTGTAAAGTTGGTTGACTTGGTCAATTCAGACAAAAACCTTTTTTTTTTTAATAAATAAAAAATTATTTGAGTAACCTACTGCATCCATTGATTTTGATTTGAAATTAAGCCGCCCTTTAATTAAAAAATAATATTTGGACAATTATAAGGACTTACACATGTGAAATGCTTCATTATTTTTATTTTTTTTAAATAAAATTCAATGAACTTTTGTCATAGATGTAATGTAATATTCTTTTACTCATCATAGACATAATTACCTTATCATTTGAATCATCCAAGCTCAGAGAAAAAAAAATCTCAAAGTTTTACTTTATATCATTTTAAACTTCAGATTTTATTTTATTTTGAAATTTGGATCATCTCCCTCTCAAATTCTCAGATAATACCATAAAGTTGTATTCCGCAAGAAGAAAATTTCGAAGGTAAGGCTAGTGACTGAAGTGAAGTCGTATCGAAGGTGCAGCTCAATCACTTCGCTTGTTAAGTATTTTGATTTGACACTGCTTTTCACATCCCAAAAAAAAGAAAGGAGCTACATTTAAATTAAACTTTTCCTTTCTCGACGGTGAAGTAAGACCAAGCTCATGAGCTTATTGTTATCTTAAATCGAAACAAGTTGATAGAATCCCTCTTTTACGTTCATGCATTCCCATGAGGCGAAATAAAGGCGAAAAAATATATAAATAAATTCAATCTATTTGGGTTTAATTTGTATAAGTTTGACCTCTAACATAATATTCTTGAATTTCGAATTGTAAAAACTTATATTCATAACAATATCCTAAAACTGAACATTCCAAGACAATGTTATAGAGTAAAAAGAGAACTTTTAAGGTAGTGTCCCAAAGTTTGAAAAAGAAAAAGAAAAATATGAAGAAGTGGACCTCTACTGCTTCTAATTAAGAAAAATAAGGACTAAATAATTGATATTTCAAAATGTTGTTTAGATTTCAATTTCTAATTTTAAAATAGATTACTAACAAACTCGATAATCCATAAAAATAAGATAAGATTTGTATATATCCTATCCTTTTACGTTTTATTTGTGAGGTCATATTGAATGAATTATTATCGTCTTATCGTCTAAAACTGCATGTTTCTCTATTAACTCTGCCAAGGAGCTGTTTTTGAGTCAATCCACCTGCCTTAAAATCTTAGTTCATTTGTTAAGATTAATAACAATAATGTTTTTTGAAAAAACTTATCTACCTATACTTAAAACTTCTAAAAACTCTTCAAAGATATAAGTTTAGAGGTTGATTATATTTTGTTAATTAAAAATAGAAATACATATGATCATTTCACCACAGTCTTTATGGCATATATAATTCAAGGATCATCGTTATTTTTGAAGCAATTTTTACATATTGATGAGAAGAATAATGAAAAGATTCTTTAGAATATACTACTTGATAATGTGGAGGGAATCTTTTATTGATAGGTAATCTTCACATATTAGTGCCATATATTTCTTGAGGACTAAGATTTTCTTCATAAACTCAGATTTTTTTTGTTATATATAATAGGAATATTTTCAGTTAAACTTTTATTATGTTATAAGAAGAAAAAGGGTTTATTTTGTTATCTTCATCCTATGAATATTTTCACATATAACACATTATTCACGTAGAGTTCTATGATTGGAACTAGGTGTTTCCAATTTGTTTGTTTTTTTTTAAAAAAATGGTATAATGTTTTGACTCGACTTATAAAATTTATATTATATCATTGTTTTACATAATTAAAATATGACCTTTTGAATCATCTCAAATATCTCGATTCTTTTTGTGTTGGTACTGTTTGATTTTTTTCCTTCATATTTTGAAAAGAATCATGTAAGTGAAAGTTAGAACATGAGAACGTAACGTTCATATATTTTTTATTTTTTTAAAAGACGATTAATTAAGAGAATATAAAATACCACTAAAATAGATAGATAGATATATCACATTATTTGACAGTATAAAACAAATTTAGCGAAAATTGAGAATCAATTATATTTTACATGATGTAATAAATAATTAATCAAATTTCACTTTGAAAAAAAAAAAATGAATATACATAACTTTGCCACAAAAAATGTAATTTCTTGAAAATGATTTTAATTTTCTAGATATCTATAGAATAAGAAATATTGCAATTAAACAAGAATGTGGAGCACCACTTATCCTCACCCACCTCCTACAACTAAGAAAGAAATATTAATTTTCTCTTATGCTATTTTATTGGTCAAGATAATAAAAATAATTTTTTGAATGATCCATTGCAAACTCAGTATATAAACTAACTTATGTGTTGCAATTACAGTTTTCTTGTTTTCACACATGCTCATCTAATTTGAATTTATGTTAAAAAAGTTCTATATTAAAAGATTAAAAAAATATTACTTATACTCAGAGTTTAAATAGAAAACCTTTAAAAATAGAAAATATTTACGACTTTATCAAAACTTTTTATTGATAGCGTTGTGATTAATAAAAATATGATACCTATATATATATATACCGTATGTAGGTACAGAGAGATTTGAGAACCTAAGATCTCTTTTTAACTTTAAAGAAAATGACTATTATCAAATGCAATCAATGCACATCAAATCATATTAATGATTAATTACACTAAACAAAACCTACATCAACACCCTATAGAAATGCACCACAGCATCGTTAACTATAATTAATTTAATATAAGTAAACAACTAAATAGAAATGGTCATACAACATAGAGAAAAATCAATTTAACATGGCTTGTGAGATTCTTGATTACCTAATAATAGAGATTCTTTGACCAAAATCTTGTTTATAAAACACTTAATAATCATTTCTCAAATAATTTTACCAAATAGATACTGTTTTCCCCTTAGTTTTGAGAAGTTCATAATTTCATAAAAATATTTTTCAAAACAAAGAAATTTTCTATTAGAAGTTTGGCTAAACACCCGGGCCAAGCACACGGATACCATTTGCCAAAATCACAAGTAAACTTGTACCTCAAACAAAAGCAATTTATGTAAAAGGTTGCTTTTGTTTGCATTATGGTATTCAACTATTTATAGTTCAAAGGATACACTGGGATCGCTACGAAATGGGATAAGGAGATATACCAAATAAAATCACGATACAGAGTCATCTTTGGTAGGAAACACTTTATCCCTCGTAGTAAAACTTCCCAGTAGAAATCTCGACTAGTTAGATGCCTTAAAGTCGATACCAAGTGCAAAATAATAACAAAAAAGAAATAACATAATAATACACAAGGTAATCAAATGGTATATATACCTTTTCTATCTCGAGGCTTACGCCTGGCCCTGTACGGTATAAAACGTCTCGCCTCGCCTCGCACCCGCCTTTTTAGACACTGCTCACTGTACAAGACACTATTATTATAAACAAACTTACTTGATGCATGAAAGATCAGGAAGTACAGTCTAAATGATCATTTACAGTATCGTTTGGGTTGTTTTTGCTCTGCCTGCCTCATAAAATATCCTCAAAAACACCTGGCTTCAGCTAGTCTCGTTCTGTTTTAGTATAAAACCGAAATATACAATTCAAGGAAGAAAGATTAACGCTACTACACCATTCGGATTCAAATGGATGGATGGTATAGCCATTTGACTTCAGCAAAATAACAGAGAATGCAATCTTCTTGATTGTTGCATGCGTTTTGCCGCGTAGCTTTTACGGCTTCAATCCATGTACTCATATCAGGTCAACCTCATTCCTTGTAAAGTTCCAACTCCCTATGTATAGAAGGCACTCCTATCTCTTTCTGAATGACTGCATGCAAGATACAAAAGGAATATTACTGGAACTAGAAATATGTGTGTTCCCCCACGATCAACTGTATGATGCAGAGAGGTAGTACACCGGCTTCAACTAGTTAGGGTCACTTGACTTGGAAGAAGATAAATCAATTCTCTTAAGATTTGGTCAAGAGGTTCAGAAGTAACAGTTCAAGTATTGCCTGCCTAATTAAAGTCCATTTGCCTGCAACATAACAGTTTGAATCACAACGTTAGTTATCAGTTTAATAACTTAAAACAAATAAAAGAACATAGAAGTGCAACATTTGGCACAAATATGACTTATTAGCATAGCATATTTGTTCTATACTAGAAGTACCTTCGCAACAGAAGACAGTTTTATACTTCATCCATGAAGCAAATGACAAGTGAGTTTAGATACAATTGTTGCAAACATGTTCACTTCCATCACAATTTACTTACTAACATTCCTCCTTCATCCCATTTCAATTTACGTGAATCCTTTCTTTGACTAAAATATTTCTCATTCCCAGGAAATCGATATTATTTCACACATTCTTTACTTGATGTGGAATTTCTTCTACAATATCTCACTTTCATACTTTTTTTTTTAATATCCCACTTTCATACATTTTAAGAAATACACATGACTGGATCATCCGATTCAAGAGGGAGGGGGTTAAAAGTGCTTACTTTTTATCTGGGAGAGCTACACTATAATTATCAAATATTCAAACTACAAGAATTTCGTATGAAAATTGTATAAGAAGAAAAAGGAAATGCAAACCTTGCCAAAAGACAGCTTTATGACTAGATGAACAGTGACAATATGAAAAATAAGTCTCTCACTTTCCTCTCTTTTTTCTTGCCAAAAATAACCAAAACTTATTCAGGAGCAGCATCTTTTCCTCCATCAACACAACCAATAGCCACTTGAATCGTTTATGCCCGACAGTGAACTATTAAGCTACACGCATCCCAATCTGCCACAGGTGAGCAAGTAGAGAAGCACTAACGACTTTCTAGGCTTATGGATTTAGACAGCTATACTTCATCATACTCCTCAGTTAATATGAACAAGATCTCCAATCTCCGTGGACGTTAGATTATTCCCAACATCAATGACTATCTTTGTATTAGTCAATTCCGACATATACTTTGAATACAGTGTATACAAATGTCCAACATGGAGAAAAATGGAACTTTGTGTTAAGAACGTAAATATTACAAAATAGAAATTCTTTGTAATATCGATTAGGCATAAATCCTTGTAATTTTGCAATGATTTGGAGTAGAAATTACTTTCCTTTCCTTTTATGGATTACGTGTAAATATTATTTAAGTTCCAACATGCTTGACCGAATGATAAAGTAATTTATTCCCAAGATCTCTTTCTTCTCTTTTCTTAACATTATGCACATTAAAAAGTATGAATGTTGAGCATTGGTGGGGGCAAGGCAGAAAGAATTATGAGAATGTGTGAAAACACTTGTCTTACACATCACACCTAGGTCTTTTTACGTGAACACTTTACTATGTATATTATTATGTTTCCCTAACGGTCTCCTGAGGCTGGAGCATACAAGTGGTATGCACCGAGTTTAATAACTTATAAGAACACCAGTGGAAGACTTGGTGAATATATCTTCCAACTGATCATTTGACCTCATGAATTTCATGACAATGTCTCCTAAGTGTATTTTTCTGCAAGAAAGTGTGGTCCTTCTCCATGTGTTTGGTTCTCATGAAGCACCAGACTCGTCGCAACATGAAGAACAACTATTTGGTGCGAATAAGTTCACAAGTTACAATAAATTATTATTTGATGCTCTTGCTTCTCACTGGATCTAGCAACCTAATTTTTTTCTTGATTTCCCAACGCAAATTACTTCAAAGTAAAATACAAAATGTAGAAGTCAAACGTCTATTAGAAGATAACCCTACTCAATCTAAAATCTGTGTACTCCGTATTTTCTCATGTCCTCAGTTCTCAAAGAATAATCTTCTTCTGAAATTGATTCTATGTTTCAAAAAATTATAGATACTTGAATCCCAATGAGTCGCATGGAGAGTCTATAAACTAACTTACAACACTCACAAAAAAGATAGACTATTGCATCCCAGTGAGTCACATGGAGAGTCCATTAATTAGTTTACAACATTCACCAAAAAGGCAATATCATCCCAAGTTACTGAGAGGTAATTCAACCTACCTACCAACCACCTATATCTTGCAGGGTCACTAAAAGGACTAATATGGACCTAGTAGAAGCTTAACATTTGGATCCATAAGAGTGTCAATGGGTCTAAAACAAGAATGTCTAGAGCATACTAACACTGGAGATGAAAATATCTGATCTGGACTGAGCGGCCTGAATACCAAAGAAGTACCCAATTTGTCTAGATCCATAGTCCAGAAGTGCTAAAAGAAGTGTTATTTCAATTCAGTAATGTGTAGACTAAGAAAGAGATAAGAACTCTCTAAAACAAAAATTGAAGTTGAAATTAGAAAAGATCTGTGAATTCCTTCAAATTAACGATTGCTTATCACCACCTATAAAAGGGGTAAGATTTACTATACGAAAACTAAACATATGCCAGGAAGTTATAAATGATTGTGTGCTACACGTGGCTCCTCCTTGACCTTAGTGAGATGCACTTATTGACATGAGTTTCTTATCCATATTACGATTTTCCAAATAAGTGAGCTTGACTTGTTGATTTCCTTGTTTGAATTATCATTAATATCCAACACTTCCTCTCAAGTCGGAACATATATATAAATCATACGCACAAAACTTCTTAGAAATGTTTTCACTCCTAGTCCTATGAGGAACCTTTCTAAAGATAGCTGGTAGTAGTAGCTTAGCTGAGCCAAAGGGTGTACGATAATTTCCTTAGAGATAACCTTCTCCAAAACAAGGTGGTACCTATTTCTAATTTTAGTTCTTTTATGAAAACTGGATTGGAAGCTATAACTGATGTTGCTTGATTATCACAATAAAACATTGTTTCTTTAATGTCTACAAACTTCAATTTTCAATGTACGTAAAAGGCTAAAAAATACCCTTAACCTATTAGAAATGGTTCAAAAATCCCTCCTTCCACCTATTGGCTGAAAAATGCGCTTAACATTTTCTTTAGGTTCAAAAATTCCCTTTAGTTAAGGGAAATATGACATGGAATTTCACTAAACAAGTGGTTGGTTGGTCCACATAATTCTTTTATCAAGTAAAAACACTCCCACCCAACCCAACACCTAAACGTGTTTTCACTGGCAATTTAGGCCTTTTCTCGTTCTCTTTCTCTGCTTTATTTTTTCAAAAAACAACTTTCAACTCCCAAAAAAATAGATAAATTGGTAAAACAGCATCTCATTGACTGGTATGCAGATGCATTGACCAGGTTACGACACCCACAACAAAAGCAAAGTTTTTTTTAAAGGTAACAATGGCATAGTCCAACTTCCTAACTAGCCTTTGGTAACTTTTAGGATTTATCATGGTTTCCCCTGATCTGATAACAGTTTACTGTTCAGACCATCAGACTATCAACAGGCTTCCAATCCATAACTATGTATTTACAGGTATCTAGTACATACTTTTGTTGTGAAATAAGATTGTGTCTTCATTGGGACTCAAAATACCAAGAAAATATTTTAGAAGTTTTAAATTCTCGTCTGCAAATGACTTTTTAGATATTTTTTAGTTGGATGATTCTCTCATGATCATTGCATGTAATAGCTATGCCATCTATATATACCAACAGATAAACAGATTGACCAGGTACGACAGTAGAATGCTGGGCGAACTACTTCAGAAGAAAGTAGGACTAGGACCAATCACCGCTGAATACAAGATTAAGATAGAGAATCTAAAAATGGGATGTCTCAATCTACCTTTTTCTTAAAGCATCTATCTTTCTTCTTCTGACAAAATTTGGTCAAGGCTGCTTCTCTGGCAAGTTTAGAAGGATCTGTCGTGTTTCCACAACCAATGCCGCTGGCATCACCACTTTCATTTTTGCCAGCTAACCCATTATCACTTTCCCCATTTGTTCCTCCAGCATTTATAGCTGTGAAGCTTCCATCCTGCACATTGCTTCCACGGTTACTTCCCGAAGCACTTCTGTTCAAACTGTGATACTCAGGGTTCCCTTCACAAGGCCTAGATAGAATGTTGAATGAAGCACAACTTGGGCCACCGGCAGTTAGTTTCTTCAATGAGAAATCTACATGGGTGGAAGTGCAATCTTGATCTACGTCATGGAAGTGATAATGGTGGTGGTGCTGATGAGGGTGCTGGATGTCAGTGAGAGAGCCTCGCAGAACAAGACTGTCTGTAGCTTGCATGTTACAAGGTTTAAGCTTAACTTGTGGCACTTGCTGATGGGAGATTCTGAAATCAATATTCACAGGCTTGAAAGCTGATGATGAGTGCAAACCCTTAATTGTTGATGTTGCTTCTGCCTTTTCTCTAGAAAGTAATGGTTCCTCAGAAATCTTGTTAGTGGTGGACCCCTTATCTATAATATTGATAGTTCCACTTGAGCTCGGATGTAGAAATTTCTCATCTGTATGAGTTGGAATATCACATACTGATTCTTTCTTGGCAATTTCTTGGCCATTATTAATTATAGAACTGCCAAGTGTAATCCCATTAGGAGTCCTTGTAGGGTTTGAGGATGAATTATACCTGCAAAATGGTCCACCATGGAGCAAAAGGTAAATTGCTGAAAGTGCCCCATCCAACAAAGGAAATCAGCACAGCTCTAATAAAAAGTTTAGAAAGAGCATAACTAGTAACTATTGTCTCCAAACCTTGAGAAAGCTGAAAGATCTAATCTTCTCAAAACACTAAAATCATCTTGAGCACCTTTTTCGGGTACTTTTACCGTTTGAAAACTTGGCTCTTTAGATTCACCAATGGATAAATTATTGATTTCTAATAACTGCACAGCTTTGTTCAACCTTCTACTGTTGGTCCGAGGATGAGCTGTCTCAGCAGTCACATCATGATATTCTGTCGATGGAACATTACCATCTAGACTTTCCTGGTGTTCATCCATCTTCAAACTGCTTGGGTTGGAATTTATTGCCAGCAGGGTCTTATGTTCTGCATCAACAAGTTCGACTGGAACCTGAATTGCATTTTCAGGTTGTAACTTCTGATTTCTAGGTATGCCCTTGAGGGAGGGTTTTTTTGCAATGTAATCTTCAATGGAACACATGATAGATACGTTTCAGTCAACGAAGAGACAATAAGCCAGAGAGAAAAAGATTAGAAATACTCATTACCAGGATGTTCTTCTTCTTCTTGGCATTTCCTTTTGGCATTTCTCTGTGCATTCTTGTAAGCAGCAATTTCTGCCTTTGAACTAACAACCTGTGCACAAGTGCTGTCTGGACACTCAGGTACCTGATTCAATGGAGAAACTGCCTGAGAGCTAACAGCTTCAACAGCTTGCTTTGTCCAGGAATTCTGCAAAATACAAATTCCAGACTCAGAAAAGAAATGTTATACAAATCATTCTGTACTTCTATGGTCTTTAAGCCTTGGAATTTTGATGCTTAACAGGGATATCATAATAGAACTATTATATTGAACGTAATGACAATGTCTCTAAGAAAAACACATTGAATTTTGGAGTCCTCCTTCCTTCCCCTAAGAAACTTAAATAAGCATTGTTTGATTGCTCAGACATATAAACTTATCTCTGTCACTGTTAAAGAATGACAAAAGTCCCACATTGGTGATTTATGAGATGGGTGGACTCTGTATCAGGCATGAGCAATCCTCATCCCTTTAAAGTAGTTTTTGGGGTGTGAGTTAGGCCTAAGACCTAATTTTACATGGTATTGAGAAGGACCTATCTCAACATGGTCCAGTAACCAATAAAAGGGCTAGTTCATTTGTTCATAATTTATAACTAACTCGAATATTTTTTATTTCTTTTTACTCAATTTCAGAAAAAAAAATAAAAGAATAGATAAAAAGAGGGGCAAAGTGTTACAAGAAAGAACTCTGTTCGATTTTCTAGTCCACCTATAAGAGGAGATCATATGAAAAACGTCAAAGAGAAGGAACAAGAAAAACCAAAATATTCTTACTCAAACATGAAGTACTGTAATTTACAACTCTTCTTTATATAGTAATCGATGGATCCCCAAAATTAAAATTGACCACCCACAAATGTTAAGCACTGAGCATGAGGTGGGGCGTTAAAAAATGACAAAAATTTCATATTGGTAATTAATGAGATGGGTGTACTCCTTCTAAAGCTTGCACTATCCTCCTCCCTTTGAGCTAACTTTTGGGTTGTGATGGACTAACCAATGGATTCTAACTCAAATGATGTTGTACAATTCTACCTCGTTTGTTTGCTGCAAGAGTTGGTGTTCTAAATGTGTCAGCATATGTCTCAGACTCTCATCTACATGTACAAATCGATAGAACCTTTCGGAAAAAGAAAAGGAAGTCATTTCAATTATCTAATGGTTCAAATAACTATGAAACAGTAGACCTAGCTTGTTTTCGAGGTTGTTGTTATCATGTGATCTTCTGCATGTAAATGAATGACAATAAGCTAAACGGCAGATTCTGCACAATGTGCTTTTATTTCTAGGGAATCCAAATGGCAATACCTGTGTGCCACTTCCATCCTCACTGCCTTTACCAACATTTAGGCCGTACCGCCCATTATCTTCCCCGTCATTGCTACCGCTGTTGTTTTCAGACTTCTCACTACTTTTTGATTTTATAGATTTTTGGGTTTGAGTACCGCTTTCGCTCCCGCTTCCACTAGACTGAGAAAATGAGAATGAATTAATCATGGTATAACACAAAAACACTGTGAAGAAAAAGAAATGGCATATTACACATAACGAAAGAAACAGCGAATAACTAGACAAACAGCCCACCAACAAGTAAGCAGACTCGATCTCCATAACAAACAATTACTGTATTTAGGTATATTGATGGACATCAATGCATCAGCCGTCCTTTTTACACCAAGACGCTAACAAGAAAAAAGGATATTGAGAGTGATGGTGTCTCACACTATGGCATCTTCTCCACACGTGCTGCCACAGGTTCTTAAGCTCATTCTTCCGTATAGGTTTTACCAGGAAGTCAAGTGCACCTTTTGACAAACACTTGAAGACTATATCCATTGAATCATGAGATGACATCACTGCACATGGCCCTTATCAGTCATCATGTGTAGCGGTATAACAGTATCAATTCAAATTAAACATGGCATAGTAAGAGTTTTACAATAGAAGAACTGGCAGAACAGCAGGGGTTACTTACTGATAACAGGAACAGTCTTGCGTGTGTAGTGGCTCATGATTTTGGTAAGGAGACCTAAGCCTGACAAGCAAGGCATTACAACCTCTGTCAACACTAGATCAATGTGATTGGTCAGGTTTTCCAGGATCTTCCAAGCTTGCAATCCATTGGCTGCTTCTATAACTGCAAATATCAAAGTTTAATTAGATAATAAAGACAATAAAGATGGGAAGAGAGAAACCAGACAAAAGATATTTACAACAAATACAGCAGATAGAAGTCAAGAACAGAAAGTGTAATAAAAAGGGAAAAGCATAGAGAACCACTTAGGAGAACTGTGGTAAAATCTCCGATGAACAAGTCACTGAAACTATGCACAAGTTGCTTTGACCAAATACCACAAAAATGAAACTTGAAACTTCATATTAAGTTGAAGTAAAAATATGTATCTATTTGAACACCATGATTAATGATTTCTGCTGTCAACGTACTGACAAGATTCATAATAGAAACAGATTAGATGCCCACGACCTATTTATATATTAATTTACACAGCCAAATTAACCTAGGGAATGGAACTAAGTTGCTACATAAGTAAAAGGATGTCAGCAACTATTCATGTAGAGTTGCTGCTGGCTCCCCTTCAAATAACTCTAAATACAAGATATGGCATGAGGTTAGCAGCATCTGAAATGAGCATAACAAGCCACACAATAAAGACATTTTTATTAATAAATCAAAATTTTATTGATGTCCTGGGGACTGGGGACAATATGCAATAAGTTGACAACTAGAAAACCTACATCAAAATATGCTTCTCTTAAAATGATAAACCAATCATCCATACAAATGGAAACCTCGTGGTACATAAAAAATTAACAAAAGGCATGCCAGAATATGCATAAAATCATATTTCATTCTTTCAAATGTTCTCCTATTTCTTTTCCTCCAAAGAACCCATATAAGTGCCAAAGGAGCAACATTACAAGTTTCACATCTCCTTCTCCTCCCAAATATCCAGCTATGTTTGATGTTCATCACTACCCATTGTACACCAAACGTGTCTAGGACAGTCTACCCCAACTTATCAGGTACCCTGCTATGTACCCGAGTGCTTACACATGAAGCACTAACTGATATATGATTTGGTTTGTTTTCTCACATTTCTACCACTAGTATTACATACTAGCCAGCATTCATGCAAATAAGTGGAGATTCCTAGGTGCTCTAGCTATTCATGCTGCCGTAAACGAAAAATTATGCCACTGGACTCGTGTGTCTACTTGTTCAATTTTATAGAAGTTTAAGTGCCTATTTGTGCACACTCAAAGTTGGAGGTTATAAATGTGAAATGAGGTAAAGTTAAAGGGCATATTTATGTATTATGCCAACTATCTATAATTGTTAAAAATGTCAGCAGTGAAATTTTAGTCATTAGAAATCAAGTATCAAAATTTTGGCATAAGGAAACTAGCACCAGAACACATGAAACCACATCTTTTCATCTATATCAGAAAACATGAAACGGCATATTTTCATCTATATCAGAAATTTAAGATGGTTTTTCATCTTGATTGATATGATTTTTACTTCATATAGTCCGCCAAACTATACTCATCTGCTTTCTTTAATACAAATAGTTATTTGTGCTTGTAATTGTTTTCCTTTGCATTACACATTTATTTTTTATTTTCTTTATTAGTGTTTTCTCCATTAAACACATAATTCAAATCTGTTTTGCAACTAAATCTCCAAAAGAGGTTGGTGCTCGTTAGGGCTTTTCGCTTTTGACTACTCCGATTTTCATCAGGTTTACATCCACTTGCCACACCACTATGCATCAGGTTATAAAAATTCGGACAAATATACGGTAAATGACACCTCAAACTCCTACCTTTAAGTACCCATTGTCATAAGTAATATCCGATTGCTCTGCAAATACTCATAACCAGAAATTAAAACAAACTCAGATGTACAGTCTGGCTCATCTTTTTGTCCATCGTATTTGATTCTTGCAAGCTAGAGTTGAATGGACAAAAGGAAAGGCTGAAAGCTATGCAGATACAAGGACAAGCTAGGTGTTTATCAAAATAGATCAAATGTTATCTATTTGCTAATAGTCCATCAAGCTAAACCTCAAACAAGACAAAAAAAAAGAACAAACCTTCGTAATTGCAATTTCGAAGTAAAGCGGAGACAACGTGTCGTGTAGAATCATCATTCTCCACCAGCAGCACTTTAACGGAGGTGACATGAAGAAATTGTTGCCAGCAGACTGCTGTAACTTGACAATATTGTTGTTCTTGCAATTTCAAACCTCGTTGAGCTTGCAACGTGATCTCCCTCCCTCCTATCTTGTTATTACTAATCATATTAATTTTCAACTCATTATCCTTAACTACATTTATCCCCTCATGAGAAATTCCAATTCCATCTCCGATAACCTTTTCCTCATCCAAACATTTTTTGTCTTCATCGCCAACGATTTTCATTGAAACACTCCCTGTCATCCAGATCTAAAACTACTGATGATAAGGAAGATGTCACACAACATAACCTTTCCTAAATCCTTGTCAACTAAAACAAACTCCGCATTTCTTCTTCTTCAGAACCACAAATTCTTCATATATATACCCTATCATACCTATTACACATCAGAAACGTTAAATCAATCAATTAAATAGCAAAAATCTAAATTAAACCTAATCTAGTGTAGTTTCAAAAACAGATAACTACAACAAAACAATACGATAATCGAGATACGAAAACAATACTATTAAATCTTACCTTTAAACAAAATTTCATCAATACAATTAAACCTAGTGTACTCATCAGAAAAGCACTCACTAAAATTGCTTTTGCCACCGGAATTCCGTTAAACCGAGCAAAAAATAAAGCAACGGCGTCATGAAAATTGAATTGAAGCTATAATTAGCGATGAATTTTGCAGAAAATTAAAGATAAAGTTGAGATTTGCTTTATCCAGAAAAATACAAGAGGGCTTTTTGCAGGAGATTTTGATTGTATGGAACACTTTACTATATCCACGGAAAGTTTAGGCGGAACGATTGTAGGTGATGACGTGGATGAAATGTAGGTCCCACAGGCGCCACGTAGGATGAGATTGTTCCACGTCAGGTAGAATCTAAAGAAGGAAGCTCGACGGCTGCTGCCGAATCGCGACAGATTTTGTTGGAAAACACGTGGCAAATGATGAATATCTTTCCGTTTCAATTTATTTATTTAAGATTGATTTACGAAATTTAAATAAATAATAAATACATCTCTATATAGTTTGCACGCTCCTTGAAAAGTAATAAATTTAAAACAAATTACTATATTACTGCCTATTAAAAATAAATATAACTCATCAGAAAAAAAATGAATTAATATTTAATGGCAAAAGCAAAATAAAATTACTTTTTGATTTTTCGAATTGACAATTAAAATTGAACAATTATGCTTAATATATTAAATAAGTTAAAATAAACAAATGGATTAATACTTTTAATTCTCGTAAAACTAAGCTAAAGATATGTTGACGGTTAATGATTCATGACAAAATGTATGACTATTTTATCCAGCTTTTGGTTATAGATATTAGGTAAACGTGCAATTATTTATGTCATCATATATGTGTTTTTGATGAAAAAATTATTCTTCAGGTAAATGATAAAATAACTTATCACAATATAAATTATCTCGAAATAATTAATTTTGATATAACTTATTTCCAGTATATAATGTGAAAAAAAAAAAAGAATTAAACCATTAACAAAAAGAAATAAGAGAATTTTTTTAATAGACGGAAGAAGTAAAAGAAAACGTCAATGTCAGTTTCAGTGTACTTTGCCAGATGCCAATAGTAAAATGAATAGACGGTTCTGACGGCGTCTAAATTTTGTATGTAAGTTACACAAATACCCTTTGAGCATTGAGAAAATCGTGTGGCTAGGCAAAAATATCTGAAAATATCTACATGGATAACGGGCTTTTTCATACATACACGAAACACAGGAGAATTTTCATGTACCTAATTGTCTAATTGAATCACAACCGTTGAATTGTCAATCATCCATTTGTCCATCACCATCAAAGTTCTTATGTAAAAATTTCTACTACTTTGACAGATAATTATTCTTAGTTGAAAATAAAAGAAATTATTATTCAACATACATTATTTAGGTTATTGAATGTCACATAACATTAATGCCATCGTCAAAATTTATACGATCAAATTCTGATCTTCTAAAAGAAAATAATCATTTTTATGTTTAATAGTATGCTCTTATCGATTTGGTGGTTATATATATATATTTTGTTGAGTTCGTCATTTCCTTTTTTATAATCGAAATTCAATATAGGTTGTTATTTTTCCTACAAGCATCTATATGCCAGTTGCCAGTTTTATTGCTAGGTATATAGTAATAAATTTTATTCAAATATTTAACTACGATCTGTTTCAATTAAACACATAAATTTCTAATAAGATATTTTTATATGTAAATTAATTTCAATTTTAATTTTTTTATTCATATATTTAATAACATTTAAAGAATTAACTATCGATAACATGATGTTTGACCATTAATAATAAACAATATTTCTAAAATTCCAGCACCACATTAGTAATCTTGAAATCACATTACTATAATTTGTTAGCGAAATTTAAGTAATATATTTTTCTTTTATTACAGATGAACTTGGGTGTTGTTTTCTTTAATTTTAGATGGTTTTGTATTTTGACTATTTTTTTAGAAAGATATAATTTAATGAATAAATTGATCATATCATCATTGGCCATGTATATAAAGTAGGCAATATGTCAAAAAAATTGTTACTAGTGCTTCTTATCAAAAGACACATTAAAATTTGAATAACTCATATTTGGAAAATCTAATTGATTAACGACTTGTCCGTTACAATTCTATTATCCACCTTATAATTTTCTCTAACTTTTTAAAAGGAAAAACGAAAAATAAATCTAATAACACAATTCTTCGGAGTAATCCAGTGGTTTGGTCTTGAAACTTTTATATTAGAAGTCTCAAGTTCGAAACCCTTTGTCCTTGAAAGCAAGGATTTGCCTTTTGAGTCAAACTCGTATCCACTGAGCTATTGCATAGGAGCGTATTATTAAACTTATTAATTTTTTACAATACGATAATTAATTGTTCACGATCTAATTACACTTATCATTATTTTCAAGATTAATATAATCAATAATTTATCCAATCATAACTAACATCACAATCATAAACACATGACATAACTAATAAAAAAGTTTAGTCAAATACTAAAAGACAGAAGCATTGCTTGTTTACCTAACTTGTGTCTACGTCAAATACAATGTTTAAATGTATAAACATAGCTTCAATTAGTTCAAACCTCAACAAGAATGGAGTAAAGTGGTTTCTAAAATTAAGCAATTTTTATCAACTTTTATGATTTCTTGTAAATAAAAACATTCAATTATTGTTATTTTTATTTACAAAGTCAATCAACTATTTTATAGGTAAAATATCGATAATAAAACAACTTTTAAACTACAAATAAAATTAAAAGATAATTCTTTAAAAAAAATAATAACTAATAATTGAGTAATCGTATATAAAACAGACAAAGACATTAACCAAGTATGAAAAGTAGCTTTGTAAACATTAGCATTATCAATTGTTGGCACCATTTGCCAAACGCTAACAAACAACTTTTGCTAAAAATACAATAATGACAATATGTTTCCCAAACTTTGCTCACCTTCAATGTATTTTATCTACTGGAATAATTATAAATAAAATATTCATTCGATAAAAATTTATCATTCAAAACAATTTAATTATCACTTTATGATTTATTTTCCCCAATTTATATGACATATTTCAAATTTCAAGATATAAATAAGTTTATTTTTTAAATAAATTTGCATATATTTTTTAAGTTTTTTGGATTATCAATTATTGTGATTTAAACTATTTTTTGCGTAGTTTATAAATATGTAAATTTCATTTAGAAAAATTAAATATTGAATGGGCAAAATCTTGATCAAATTTAAATTGTTTGACTCTCGAATAACGAAATATGTCACATAAATTGGAATAGGCGAAAAATATACCAAAGGGCAAGCAAGAAGCATGTTAACTTGAGTCTACTATCTTTCTGTTCATTCATTGTACAAATACAACAAGTTGTCATTGTCTTTATATTTATGGCTCACAATTGAATTTAGGCATACTACCTAAACATTTACACTAATAACAATGATAAAAAGATATTAGTCAATAAATATTAACAACAAAATGTAAACATACACTTACAAATTTAAGAGGAGGTCATTTTTAAACTGTCATGATCTATTCCCTTTTGCCATATCAAAATATTCATGCTCAATCTCATATCCATTCTGAACTAATGGCTTTTTGTCAAAGAATGCATATAAATATCTCACACTAAACTAATAATTTTGTATTAAATTTCAAATTAGATACATCAATCCTTTAGATACGTTAATACTATATAAATACAAGAAGAGAGGCAAGTTAGAGTGACAACATGTATCTTTTTGATAATATACACATGCATATTTGATATCAGATGAATTAGATGAATTTTGAAATGCAAATTCATAAGAAGAGAGACGAGTGAGAAAGGAAGATAGTTGAGCGAGAGAATAGACATGCAATAAGAAAGTAGAGAAGCGAGTGATAAGGTCAATATATCTCATTTATATGTGAATCACGATTAGTTATAATGTATTTGAAACAAATTTCATCTAAGTAAATGTGGTATGGAAGGTAACTCGTATTATTATCCGATTAATCGGAAAATGGGTAAGTGAAAAAGATCTTATTGGGTTCTAAGCCCAATAAGTGTGCTTTCTAAGTCCAGCCCAATATTTCTAACCCTTCTTGTTCCTCTGTTCTTTACTTATATTTGTACATGGAAGAAAACCTAGCTTCTGTAAGGCCTCACTCTGTTCTTCTACTCTCACAAACCCTAGCAGCACCCCCCTCCCCCCCCCTAATGGCTACAGCTGCTGCCATCCCCACCACTACGGTTCAAGTATTCGAAAATGACATGGCTACTGACGGCGGTTCCGCCGCTATCCCTCTCCCCGCCGTGATGAAAGCTCCGATCCGTCCTGACGTTGTAACCTACGTCCACGCCAATATTTCCAAAAATGCACGACAACCTTACGCCGTTTCGAGAAAGGCTGGTCATCAGACCTCTGCTGAGTCATGGGGTACTGGTCGTGCTGTATCTCGTATCCCCCGTGTTGCTGGTGGTGGAACTCACCGTGCTGGACAAGCTGCTTTTGGTAATATGTGTCGTGGTGGTCGTATGTTTGCTCCTACACAGATCTGGCGCCGTTGGCATAGAAAGATTCCGGTTAATCAGAAGCGTTATGCGGTAGTTTCAGCTATTGCTGCTTCCTCAGTTCCTTCACTGGTTCTTGCCCGAGGACATCGTATTGAATCAGTGCCAGAGTTACCTCTGGTTGTTTCTGATTCGGTTGAGGGAATTGAGAAGACTTCTAATGCTATCAAGGCACTAAAGCAAGTGGGTGCTTATCCTGATGCCGAGAAGGCGAAGGATAGCCATGCTATTCGTACAGGGAAGGGTAAGATGAGGAATCGTCGATACATTTCCCGTAAAGGTCCATTGATTGTGTATGGAACTGAAGGGGCTAAGTTGGTTAAAGCCTTCCGCAATATTCCTGGAGTAGAAATTTGCCATGTTGAGCGTTTGAATCTCTTGAAGCTTGCTCCTGGAGGTCATCTTGGACGGTTTGTTATCTGGACGAAATCAGCTTATGAGAAATTGGATGACATTTACGGGTCATTCGATAAGCCATCTCAGAAGAAGAAGGGGTACTTATTGCCACGTCCAAAGATGGTGAATGCTGACCTTGCTAGGATCATCAACTCAGACGAGGTACAATCCGTTGTGAGACCCATTAAGAAGGATGTGAAGAGGGCAACATTGAAGAAGAACCCACTTAAGAACCTGAATGTGCTGCTGAAACTC